ACATACTCAGAAGATACTGCTTTTTACCTTATCTACTCCACTATGCCTTTCCTTTTCCCTAAAATATAAAAAAGAATAGAATGAGCACAACTAGCCCAGTAGACTTATCTTTATAGGCAATCACAAATATTAATATCCAAATTCAAATATAACAATAACAACATCATCATCAAGCCTTTATCCCACTATGTGGGGTCTGCTACATAAATCATTTTTCTCTATTACCTCTTGTTAAGAGTTAAATTCTCATTTAAATATAATAAGAAAGGTCATTTCTAATATTTTCTAACAAGTCTTTTTAGGTCTACCTCTATATTTCTTAACATAAGTCAAATCTAATGCATCTACTTTCCTAACCGAGTCATCGGAAGGTTGTCATTTTATGTGACAATATCCAAATTCAAATATTAAATAAAAAATGATTTAAAAAGCATAATGATTCGTAAAGAATAATTAAAGTGTAAAAAAAACATGCATTGCTAGGATTTTAGTGTATATTTAGTTTCATCGTTATCACTTCTACTTATACATCAATTATCATAGAGATTTCCATATACATTATAGACACTTATCTTTCACTTTCTTTAACGTCCCCTTTTCATTAGAATTCATACAAAAAATATATAGAAATTTAGAGTTTACTAATACTTAATTTAGAAAATTACTTAAATTTTACTCGTTAGAGTACTAGCATATGCAATACAATAATTATACTACATGTGCTTATAACTCTACGTCTACTTATGCCTCCCTTTATCTCTCACACATACATATAGAAAATGGGGCCATAATCATAATAGAATCATGCCACATAATCTCTTCACCTGCTTTCAAGAAATGGAGCCAAAATCCCTCCCATATCCACACTAGGTAGATGATGTTATAATAGAACATATTGGGTCATTGTAACATACCAAATAATGCACTTTTTCATATATCATAACATCTCTAATGTTATGTCATACATTCATGTCTGCAACATCAACCAATTTATGATCTCACTATAATATTTCAATATTGTATGAATTGCAAGAATCATCAATAACATTATACTCAATGGATTTTTCCCTTTAAATTTCTAAATTCAAGGTAATATTCACATGAACATTTTAAAATTTGTGTATAACTATAATAATGCCACGTCATCTCACCATTCTGACTTCTTTGATTCATAAAGGTAAATATAGGATTTTTTCAGCTTTATGTACAATCGCCTTGTTGAATCAGAGAATTTAGAGTGGTGGAGCAGCGAATTATGCATCTTATTGCTTTGAAATGGATGTGGTATCATTATCATTTGATAGGGTTTTTAATAATAATAATTGAATAGTTGTCTTCCCTAATCTCTTATATAAAACTTTTGCCTTTTTAACCCAATCACTCTGCTTTGGTCATGCATAAGATAAACTTTATGTCATCAAATACAAAATTCTTTTTAAATTTTTTTGGTCATGGCTGGTATAAGCACTCTTAATTATTTTTTGTTTGTTGGGCTTCATTTGACTTTAGAGAATCAATTTTTGTTCTTTACTATAACATTAAGGCCATGAAGCTAATTAACTTTGAAGGCCTATTCCTAGAATAATGCTAGCTTAACGTTGAGAAACAAACTAGAGTTTTTAAAAGTTTAGAATAAGATCTTAATAGACAATCTTTTTCTCTCTAGGACAAAAACATCTCGCAGTGTAATATGGCTTCTTAGGGGGGTGGGGACTGTCACAACTCAACCCGACCAGGACGGATCCTATCGTGTTGAGTTGCGACGAGCGAACCCCCATGATCTAGTTTTGGAATTGCTTTTCAGAATTTCTTCCCATATTCTTTCACAATACAGAACCACAGAGCTACTAAAAACTTTCAAATACAAAAAACTCATCCACAAAATATTTCTTTCATTCATTAAAATAATCATATATATTATAGTACATTGCTACAAACAGAAAGTACAAAACTAAAAATTTAACCAGTCATGACTGTACAAAAATCAAAAGTATAAAAATACCTATAACTTCAGATCAGATCCTGAACGGCTAGTCCACAACTTCCTTCTTTTTCCTAGATCCTGAAAACCATGAATAAAACTACAGTGAGCTCACAGCTCAGCAAGATCACACTAGCGATCTAAATTCCAGACACTCTCATTTCAAAATACTTTATAGAAGATTTAAAAATAGTTTATTGCAGACCAAATAATTACTGAACTGAAAATTATAAAACAAAGATTCATAACAATTCATTCACTAATTCAGATAACCTTGCATAATTCATATATTCGTACAGAAATCAAACAAATCAGATAATAGATATCCTTATAAAACAGATGAATCAAATAACATATACAAAAAAATTGAATAAAATTCATATAACAGAATCGTTCAAATCACAATCCAGATTACATATTAGATCAAATTTCAAATCATATTTCAGATCATATTTCAGATCAGATTTCCCGGATCTAGATATAATCTCAAAGGATTCTGACCTCTTATGACTCCCTTCCCTAACACAGACAGAATCTCAAAGGATTCTGACCCCTTATGCCTCCCTTTTGTGCTTACAACACAAAAACATATCATATATACAAAATTATCATATCATATTTTATTTTCATATTCCTAGATCCAGACAGAATCTCAAAGGATTCCGACCCCTTAAAACTCCTAACATATATCATTCAATCACATATGCACATCAAACATCACATCATAACAAATACGGAGTGAATGATTCAGATAGCCGTACAAAATTCATATATTTGTACAGAAATCAGACAAATTAGATGACATATATCCTTACAAAATAGATGAATCAAATAACATATACATAAAATCTGAATAAAATTCATATAACATAATCATTCAAATCATAATCCAAATCACATGTCAAATCAAATTTTAGATCATATTTCAGATCAGATTTCTCAGACCCAGATAAAATCTCAAAGGATTCTGACCCCTTATGCCTCCCTTCCCTGACATAGATAGAATCTCAAAGGATTCTAACCCCTTATGTCTCCCTTTGTGCTTACAACATCAGAATATACTAGGTATATAGAATTATCATATCTGATTTCATTTTCATATTTCTAGACCCAGATAGAATCTCAAAGTATTCTGACCCCTTATAACTCCTAACAGATATCATTTAATCATATATGCACATCAAAACATCACATCATAACAAATACGGAGTAATTGAGTACATATTAGAATTTCACCTTTTTCATATAGCAACATACAACAGAAAAGGCAACGAATAAAAAATGCACCATTTCAAAAAATTATCAAATTACCAGAGATCGTATAAAACAATATTTCAAAGCTTTTATTGTACTGAAGCACTATTTTTAGACATCCAGATAATTTTCTATTCGATAAAACCCCAAATATTTCAAAATACCTGGTGAAAAATTTCCAGAAAATATTCAAAACGTGCAAATTCATAATCTCTACAACATACCAAAAGTTACGAGATAAAAGTTCTACCGGTGCAAAATTATACCCGTTTTCGCTAACGGAAACAAATTTTTAATCGGAATATTCGTCAAAACTAACATTTCTGAAATTTGAGATTAACATAATGTGCCTTACCTCGAGTCGATCAACTTCCTCAACTGCGATGACAGACGAAAACGGACAGAAGTTACCCAAAATGTGGATTTTGTCTTCTTCTCCTTCTCTTTCTCTCTCCAGCCTTTTCTCTCTCTTCAAAATCGAACAAATGAGGCATTTAATGGGTTGAGATATTTCAGATGATACGGATGATATTTTTCGTTCGTCCCGGGACGATCTCCTCTATCCACATATCGTATGGACGATAATTGATTTTCGTTCCTAAACGATAGGCTCTGTCAAAAAAATTTGTTCAGTTCGTACTGATGATTCGTACAGATGGTTCGTACAGACTAACATGCACCATGTTTAGTTTGTACAGACGGTTGGTACAGACTAATCTGCACCAAAAATCTTAAAATTCAAGGGTTCTCACAGGGACATATAAGGAAGGTTTGCGGTAGGTTGGCTAACCTGGCTCAAACTGCTTGATTGATGGTAGGTTGGATTATATGAACCATCTAGTTGATGGTTAAAAGTACCAAGCAGTGAGCCCTAATCAGTATAAATTAGCCAGTTACAACTCCTAAACGAGGCAAAAAATTATTGGCTCAAAACCAATAAGTTGACATGGTTTGTGGGTTTAAAGTTTTTTATCAGTGGGTTAATGACTCTAGAATCTATTGGTCCATATGTTAACATGGAGTAGCTCCGAATTGAAGTTGGTAAATATGTGTGATCATGTAGGCTAGAATAGGTGAATGCATTCACTAACATGTAAGTGGATGATGGTTGTAATCAATACATGTGTAGATGTCGCCAACGAGTTCACAAGTGAAAGGCATGGTGGTTTGAAGAGAGGAAGGTGTTGACGAGTTGACATGATGTAGGTGCCACCTTCTAGCAAGTTGGAGTCATAGTCTAAAGGAAATATGTTGTTCTAATATGGGACACAACATTTCTCTAAAGTTGACCTGTTTACTTTACGAGATATGATAATTTTTCAAGAAGGAATAAGCAAGTTGGCTGATGACTTGCTAGCATCGTAGCTAGTAGTTAGTTGCTAGAAACTCATTGGATAATGAAAATCGATAGATATGAACATCCATTTGATGTAGTGTGGAAATTACTAGCTACCTCTTTAAAGCTCGAGGAATATTCCACTATCATAATACTATCAAACACAAAAATCATTAACAAATATATTTCCCTAACATTAAAATTTATAAAGTATAGCACGAAAAAATTGGTATAAATAGTATAAAAAAGTGATTAAAATAAGTCGTAAATATCTTGAATAGATTTTCAAATTAGTCTAATATTAATTATTCATTTATTACAATTTTTTTATTTAGATTTAAAAATTTAAAATTTTAATAAGAAAAATAAAATTTTCCCCTAAAAAATTCAAAGAGAATATTATTAGGATTTTTGGCTCACATCACCCACACATCTAACTCATTCAAAGTTAGCAAATTCCAGTGTTCGCCTCGTATTCCTTTTGTCTCTGCAACTTGTTTGAGTCGGTTCGAAATGTTTAAATCATCATAAAAAAAATTCTTTTTTCACCTTCAAATCCTCTCAGTCTCGCCTGCAAAGTCCCTTACCCTCTAAAATTTCGATCTTCGATACCTTTTCAGTTCTGTTCATTCTGTATCTTTTAAACACTGAAGAGAATTAACGATTGGAACTGTCGAGATTTTCTGTTTCTCATTATTTTGTGGAAAGATTAGAGGAGGGGGAAGGAGAGAGAGGGGTTTGGTTTGCTCTTGCCTTTGATCAATGGGGGAGTGGAGTTCTTCCCGAAGGAGAACGATGATGCATCAAAACGATTCTGGAAGGCCCACAACGACGGCTAAATACGGCGGATTGCCGCCTTCTTCTGGTAAATTTTGCTTAAGCCAGTTTCTTTCTTTTTCCCCTTCCGCTAAACTCTTCTTCTTTCTGTGGCTTTCCGGTTCATTGATAGGGTTTTCTGTTCCTGCTTACATTTCTCAATTTTTGTTGGTTTCTATTAGTCGGGGGTTTGTGAATTTTGTATTGTTCTGCTTCCTTTTGAATGGAAAAGCAAGGTTTTGTACCATGTTGTGATCTGTTGAAACCTTCGTTGTGTTTATGGTTTCTTGTTTCTTATATTTGTTCTGTAGTTTTTTTTCATTTGTGGGAAAAAAACTATAATCAGCGGGTTTAGTATTAGTTTTGTTTGCCTTGTTTGCTAGTAGCAAGTAGCAACCATGTTCTGACTGTTATCTGAGATGTTCTTTTCTTAACCAGGAGGAAATTCTGGCGTTGACAGTCTTTTTAGATTCTTTGAGCAGCTTTTACAATTTTGGTATTTTTTATGCTCTTTCTAATCCTACATTGTCTCCTTTTTTTTAACTTTATCTACTTTATCAATGAGGTTTATCTTCAGTGTTCCCCTTTTTTTTCTATGCATTACCGATTTATCTTAAAATTGCAGATTTGCTTAATATATATTCACACTACAATTTGTTTTTTTTTTTAATTGGCCAGATACCTCTTTTGATACTTGGTGCTATTTGGCTACAAGTAGGTTCTCAAGTGGGACATAGCAAATCCTATAAATCCAAAGTTTTTGTATCTTGAGAGGATTAAAACATGAAAATTGTTTGGCATGACAAATGTTAAATCTTGCCAAATACTTTTACATTGTTTCGTGATTTGTTTCTGGATTTAGGATTTATGAGAGCGCGAGATCATTAAACCTATGAAATGTGGGATTTAACCAATAATGGGGTTGAAATGGGATTCAATGGAACAATGAAATTAAATTTACCCAAAATTATCTTTCTTAGGATTTAAGTTAAATATTTCTTAAATCCTGGCTATAATTGGATACCAAACAACCCCTACAAGCGCCTAGATTTTTGAGCTAGTATGTTTTCATGATGTTTTATTTATATCATGGTTTTATTTCAGGATTTTCCTAGCTGTTTGCTAGTGTATGAGCTGATAATTCTTCATGAAGTGTTTATTGGAACTGGTGATTAATGATCAATAGGCTTCAACTACATAAGAGTGAAACTCTGAAGCTAATGTGAGATATGCTCCAACTTTGCTAAATTTGAGAAAGGTTTATTAGGCTATGACAGGTGTTTGGTGGGTTGAATTTGTTTCAAGCTCCAACTCTGAAGCTAATGCTTTATTTACATTAACATGTTAATATTTACACGACATACATATGAACTTATATATGTTGATGTAGATTAGGAACCGCCGCAGCTAGCAAGGTATTTTAGGTGCAATAATACTTTTTTCCTAATTTGCATTTCTCTCAGGGCATTTGGTTATTTGAAGTTAGAAAACATATTGAAAAAACAATGTATTAGTTGATTCCATCATTTGGTTTGGATGTAATTACAAATTAGAATTGGTGCTTAAGAGTCCAACAATCCTAATGAAAGGGGTTGACCATTCCTCAGGATGCATAATTCAAACTAAGCTGCAAAATGGCTTGTGAAGTGGAATCAAGCAATCGAATCTCAACCAAACCTAATATTTGTCTAGTTACGCATAGAAGTGTTGCAAGACATTTATTCAAATCCCTTGCTCATATTTAGGATATTATTATTAATTTTTAGGAATTTGTTTTATTTCCCTGGAGTTTGCTAATATTTAGAATTTTTTAAAGGAAATTGCTATTATTTTTAGCAGTTCGTTGCTATTTTCAAGTACAATTTTCTATTTTATGTTTGACTTAGAATTTGAATATATATATATATATATATATATATACTAATATAATATATATATATTTTAAATTAATCTATTTGATATGAAATACTTGAGTTCGCAAGTAACCTAACAAAACCGGCGAACAACAGCAGCCAAATGGCTGTCCACAGCAGGAAAACAACAGAAATCTGCTGTTTACAGCAGAAAAACAGCACTTGTCCGGAAAATTGAGAGAAAACTCAAAAAAAGCTTGTATTTCACTAGGAGAAGAAGAAAAACAGCAAGATAACAATTGATACTCAATTCGAGAGGAGGATCGATCTCTCCAAAATTTCTAGACGCGCTAGAGAGCCAAAGAAAATCTAAATCTAAGAGATCTCAAATTTCAGCCAAATTCAAGATGCCCAAACCTAGGAAAAACAACTATTTAATGCATACAAATCAAAGGAAATCCCTAAGCAGTCCCTACATTCAAATTCCCCTCTTAATTTCCCCAAAAAAGCTTCCTATTCGGCTCCGCAAGGCAAGCGGTGCGCGCGGCCTTCCGCCAGGCGAAACAAGTCCCTGTTTCGCGACTCGGCCGGTCCCGTGCGGACCGGCTGGACCGGTCCACTGGACCGGGTCTAACAATACTCCTCCCGAAAATCACCTTGTCCTCAAGGTGGAGATATGCTCGTGTTCGGTGAGGTGGCCATCCTTGAGGTGACTGAAAATTTCTTACTGTATTGCGGAACCAAGGGCTGCACGGAAAGAGAAACATCCCTCCCTCTTCCAATCTGATCGCATATAGCCTGTGTAGTCCACCAGATAGTCTTTCCCACCTCTTGTACGTCCCTAACCATGGTCTTAAGTGATGTGATGGCTTTGATAGCCCTGCATCTCCCCTTATGATCACCTTCCTCCTCCACCTTTAATTCCATCGTGAGTGCTCCCAATTGTCCTTGGTTTCCCCAAGGTTGGCCAACCACTTCATCCCAGGATGACATCAGTGCTTCCTAACTCTAGTGGGGAAAGTCCTCCTTTACTTGAATCCCCTGGATGGTCAACACCACACCTTTACATTTCCTGACCTTCTCCACCCTTCCCTGTACCCATCATCACCCCATAACAATCGTGTCCACCAATTTCACTCCCAATCGGTTACCGACCTGAGTGGAAATGAAATTATGGGTAGCCCCACTATCAATTAGTACATCCCTCACGGTCAGCTATCTCTTCCTTTCACTTTCATAGTGTGACTCGAAGTGAATCCCACTACTGAGTTCAGAGAGACTTCTGCCACATCCAGGTGCACCTTCTCCTCCTCTCCAGATCTGCTCCACCTCCCTCCTCGTCTTCTCGTCTTCACAGACAAGGAGAACCTGAAGAGTTCGGTCCTTGCACCTATGCCCTGGCATGTACTTCTCATCACATCTGAAGCACAACCCCTTTGTCCTCTTGCTGGCGATCTCCTTCTCTGTCAGCCTATTGAAATTTTCCCCACTCCTCCTCCTACTGCTTCTCCCGGGTGGTCTCATTACTGTTGCCTGATTCAGGCCCCTTGGGTGCTAGAAGAGGGTCGTTGTCCTGTAAGAGCCTCCTGAGTCAGTTCCTCGACCCTTCTTTCTGCTTTCTTCTGATCTTCTACCAACTGTGCCAGCTCCATAGCCTTTCCCAGGTTCCTCGCTCTAGTACATGAGTGCTGTTCGATTCTCGGGTTAGCCCTCATGAAGTTCCCTTCTAAGGCTGACTCCCGAAGATGTATCCAATCTGCCTAGCCTAAGTACTCAAACCGATCCCGATAATCTGTCACAGTCCTTTCTTGAGTCAAGGCAAAGGAATTGCTCATAGAAGTCTCCTCCCACGTCGGTTGTGAAACGCTCTAATGACAGCAATCCCTTGGAACTCTCTCCGTCCGAAATGGGCTCTCTTTCTGTCACGCCACCTATACCATGCAGAGCTTTCCCCTTCCAGAACACAGACCCCGCATGCAATTTTTCATCTCTCTGTCACCCGTTGACAAGCGATAGTACGCTCCACTGTTATAGATCAGCATGGCCGTCTTCACCCTAATAAGATGGGATCTTCACTTCCTCACCCATGGGTCTCTCCTTTCCACGGTATCTCCATAACCCCCATTCCTCGAAAGGAAGAAGTCCCCCAAGTGTCCCCGATCAATCCCTTTCCGACGATTATATTCGAATCTTCTTCATACTCACACTCTTCTTCCTTCGCATCATCACCTCGACGCTGAATCCTTCAATCAGCACCTTGATGATGACGTTCCTCCCTCCTTCCTTCAAAAACAGCCCTCGACGCTGAAATCCTTCTCGAATTCATGCCTCGGCGATGAATTTCTTCCCCTTCCCCTTCACATGCCAGCACCTCGAACAGCTGTATTCTTTCAAATTCAGCACCTCGGCGATTGAATTCTTCCCTCCTGCCAAATCACGCTCCGTTGGTCGTATCCCCTACTCATCTCCTCTCTAGAAAGTGGTTCTAGAGGGGGCATGTCGTTTTCCTCCTCCAGAATCTCCACCTCCAAATTTCTCCTCCCCCTCAAGGGGTTCGGATTTCCTCCCATGTCATGGTCGTCAGTGTTCTCTCGTACTTCCGATGTCGCCTGATTGGTCTTCATTTCAAGTAATTTCTTCATCATCTCTTCCATCACAGCGAACTTCCCCTCTAACCTTTCATGTTGGAGGTGATTTGATTTTGGAAATCGAAAAATCTTCCCTCCATATCGGATTTCAATTGTCCGATTTCGCCTTCCAAAACTTCCACCTTCTTTCCGGCCATCGTTCTTCTAACGGATCCCAAAAAATCTTCTTCCGGAAACGATAAACTTGCTGAAATTTCAGAATTTCAGCCGCCGGTGGTCCCAAATCGACGCTCTGATACCAATTTGATATGAAATACTTGAGTTCGCAAGTAACCTAACCAAAATCGGCGAACAAACAGCAGCCAAATGGCTGTCCACAGCAGAAAAACAGCAGAAATCTGCTGTTTACAGCAGAAAAACAGCACTTGTCCGGAGAAATCTGAGAGAAAACTTAAAGAAAAGCTTGTATTTCACTAGGAGAAGAAGAAAACAGCAAAGATACAATTGATCCTCAATTCGAGAGGAGGATCGATCTCTCCTAAATCTCTAGACGCCGCTAGAGCCCAAAGAAAATCTAAATCTAAGAGATCTCAAATTTGAGTCAAATTCAAGATGCCCAAACCCTAGGAAAAACTACTATTTAATGCATAAAAATCAAAAGGAAATCCCTAAACAGTCCCTACATTCAAATTCCCCTCTTAATTTCCCCAAAAAAAGCTTCCTATTCGGCTCCCGCAAGGCAAGCGGTGCGCGCGGCCTCCGCCCAGGCGAAACAAGTCGCCTGTTTCGCGACTCGGCCGGTCCCGTGCGGACCGGCTGGACCGGTCTAACACTATTCTATCTAGAAATATAGACAACTGACCTATATGGTAGGGTATCAAGAATTTGTGGGCAGCCTGAGAGATTTATTTTTCCTTAGTAATTAGTTTGGGAAGCATTAATCTCTCAACTTCAATTGGTGGTAAGCTAGTGACTCACCGTTCCATACTAAAATACTGTGTGACACCCCCCTACCACATGGAAGGCTTTGGGCCCCAATCTTATCCTAGGAAGTTTGAATCTTTTTTTGCACCTAAGTATGGTAAAAACTAAGGGTGACTTAGTGTTTTCAATGTGCTAATAGTACCATGATGCACAAAGCTTCTTTTTTGTTTCAATGCATAAAGATCAAAGTGTAGCATTTTTTTCTAACTATAGTGTGCATGAGTTGTACATCATATATACATATATTATGTGCATATGTTAATAGTTAATTAAACTTAAAACACACAAGTTACTGATTTTTTCAACACATATCATGACATGTTCAATAAGACAATACTTTTCAATTATTTGTATAAAATCGAAGATATAAATGCTATAAATAATGAATTTGTATAATATTACTTATAAATCAAAAATATTTTTGTGAGATTGAGTGATCAACTGGTGATCGAGAGGTAGAGGGTTGTGAAGCGAGAGGTGTGAAGATGAGATATTGATAAATATCTTTGAGAAAATCTTGTTAGCAAGAGGGTATTAGCACCAACAACAGTCTAGTGATTAACATATAAGAACTAAAAGGGTAGTAAACCGGAAAAGTAAAACCATCAAAAAGTGGTTCTCCAATCAGAGAGCGGAGAACTAATGAGCAACGATTCAATGACAATGAGAAATAATGAGAAGCAAACAATCATGCCTAGTTTTTATGAAAAATAATGATCCAAACCATAAAATCTGAAATAGTATTTTTCTCTAAAGAGGAGTTGAGTGCACATTGCTATGCCATAACATGATGAAGTGGTACGACATGCACGTGCTTTATTGCATGTTTGTGCTTTACTGGTAAGCAATGTGAAGGGTTGGCGTATTGCTTCTCTTCTAAATTGCGCTTTTAACAACACTACTTAGAATGGTAAAAATTTGAGCAACTATAAGTAATCAAGAGGCAATAGGAGTAGAAGAATCAATCACCATCCAAGGGAAAAAATAATTTCTTGAATAGAACTAACACTTGATTTTAAAAAATTGAAACATTAGGAAATATGATGAAGCAAATGATTTGACAACGAGCATCAATAACTCAAAGAAATGTGAATGATTTCTCCACAAGACATGCTATGGACCTTGAACCTGTTAAGAACATTAATGAAGAAGGTGAAGAACCACCTATTGATGGGGAAGAGTAACCACTAGATAGGCCCGACCAAGGTGGATGCAAACTAGAGGTACCTGCGTTTAATGACATAGTAGATGCTCATGAGATAGACAATTGGTTAGAGGCATTGGAAACATAATATTCATTTTATAATTATACTCTTGCACAACATATTTCTTTTTCTCAATTGAAAAATGTCATCTCAAGCACTTATGTGGAACTATGACCTGGACATAGTTTAACCGAGTAATGGAGGACAATTTCTTTCTCATCAGCATGAGGTAGTGAAATGGATTTGGGGTTTGTAGTTATGGTAGAAGTACGAGCATCTAATACTGGAGTATAATATTGAGTTTATGCAACATTCCTTTTAGCATTTTGTTGCAATAAAAGGCAACTCTTATGAAATTTATTGCAAGACTTCATGGAGGCCTTTGCAAGAAATTGAAATTGTTTGCAGTGCATACTATTGTACAGATTTGTTAAAAAGCGATAGCCAACCAAAGAAGTTGGAAGTTCTTTCAAGGCAACGGCTAGAAATATCATCTTGAAGGAGAAGGAAGTATGCCTTATTGCAAGCATTGCCTATACCAGAGCAATTCGCTAGCAAATTGTTTGAAACTGCATGCTTAAAAGTTTGCTATTCCTTAGTAATGTTCGTTATTTATAGTACAAGTACAATGTAAACTTAGCTATTCCTTTTTTCATTGATAAAGTTTTGTGTGATGTATTATCAGTGGATGTCAATCATAAGGAATCAATATTTTAAGAATTGAGATGCAATACTTTTTGAAGCAAAATCCCTATCTGAAGGATTGAGATGCAATATGCTTCTTAAAAAAAAAAACTATTTTTCTTTAATAAAGGTTAAAGATAATTTATGATTAGGAAAGCCGTATCCATATAATAATATTTGAAGCAACATCCAATTTGATAGGAGCATGGAACTTTGCTAGTTTGATCCAAAATCCTAACACTAAAATTCCTCTTATTCCACTCTATTAACCAAAATTATCGGGTTCACATCTGATAATTAAAAAAAAAAAAAAAAAAAAAAAGACGAAAGCTTTGAAGAAAGAGAATCATGAATTATCCTTTGTAGGAGCAGATGTAACTTAAAAGGACCATGCTTTAGGAGGATCCCAAAATCTTGTCAAAAAGTTTCCATGACTCCTATAACTCTAGGAGGATTCAATCAAAACCCAATGAAGGGGGTTGGCCATGCTTTAGGATGCATACTTCAAATCTTGTTAAATAATGGCTTATTAAGTGAAATCTTGGAGCAAAATATCAACCAATCTTATTCTTATGCTTTGATCTGTCAAAAATAAAAATGTTGCAAAAGATTTGTCTGAATCACTTGCATATATTTAGGATTTTAATAAATTTCCTTAATTTTAGGAATTAATTACTATTTTTTAGGAGTGAATTGGTTGATTAGATTCCCAAGCTTTGGTCAACCAAGCATAAAAATGCTGCGAATGATTTGTTTGAATCCCTTGCATATATTTAGGATTTGTATTCATTTCCTTAATTTTAGGAATTATATACTATTTTTTTGGAGTTACTAAATTCTATGTAATGTTACTTTTAATTAGTAATACCTCTTTTCATGTTGACTTAGAATTTGAATGTTTCTTGGATTATTCTTTATTTCTTCTATAAATAAGTACCTACCAGGATCTTTATAAGCAAGCAAGATGAATGAAATAATCAAATTCCTCCGTAAACTCTTTTATGTTAGTCACTTGTTTTGGTTCTCAACCGATTTACCAGCAATTATGATAGGAATAGCATCATTTAGAGCTAAAAAAAAAGCTCATTGTTTGTATTCGATCATGTTCATCTCGCTACTTTGCTTATCTTCTACTAGTTTTTTTTTACGCTCATTTCTTTAGCAAGCTAAATATGAACAATAGCTTGTTCAATTATTTTACTGGATGGTAGATTGATTATGTTTATAGATACATAAAAATATGCATTTTTATATATTTCTGCATGTATGTGTGTGTATTATGTATACCTTTTGACATGTATACTTTATAGTTTATATATGACTTTTAAGTTGGTTTTATGCTCATGAATAGTTCATATTCGGCTTAATAAGTTAAATAGCCAAATAGTTCATATTCACGTAGCAAGCATAAAAACTGATGATTTATATGAATTCCATCATTCCATATTATACTAGTTTTATCATTTTATTTTATTTTTCTTTCAACTATCATGTGTAAATTATGCCTATGCCAATGATGTTGGCTCCTTTACAAATAAGATGTGTATTTTAGTACTTCGAAAAGTCCCTTCACTCGTAACTCTTTACTACATGATTTCACCTCAGCTTAAGAAACTCCAATCCGCAGGTATGGAGTTCAGAAGTCTAATCTTAAGAAATATTTTCGACTATGTTGTTGTTTCTCTCTGTTGCCTTGCTACCATTATATTCTAGCTACTACCTAGCGTTATTGCTCATTCCCATTGGTTTTCTATTCCTGCTGGTATTCTATGCTTGCTTTTTGAGAGTGCTGCACAAATGCGGACGACTAGCTTTGGGCAGAGACTCCTGGAACCAGAGTGAGGCTCAGTTCCTCTTCGGAGTGATTTCTATCTTTATTTTTGTCTACAATTGTTTTTTTGTTTATTTTGGATATAATTGTTATCATGTTAAACACTTACTGAGTTTTCTTTTGGCGCGAACATAATTTGTTACTGAATTTCTTTGTTGTTTACTGTTTTCTGGTAGAAAGTTTAGATTTTGGGCAATTGTTAAATTGTATCGTGGAATGAATTAAGCAGGCTTGTTGTCTTTAACTTAAAAGTGATTTTTTTTTTTGGTATTTTGAGTTCTAGATGCTGCAAATTTTGGTGATTTTTGTGTTACCATTGATATAGCTTTATATTTCCCCACGATAAATAGCTGCTTTCATGCTCAGTTTTTTCTCTCTATGAGACTGCTCCAAATTGTAACCTTTTATGCTCTTCTCGTCGGGTTGCAGGCCATTCTTACCATTCAGTTCCTCCTTGGGAGATAAAATTCTGCAGTCAAATTTCTTGGACAAAATTCTGTGAAGACAAGAAACTGACCTACTTGTTTGAAAATGTGCTCAACTGGGATGACTCTGCAGGAAAAGAGTCTTTCGACAATGCAAAGGCTCGTTACTGGGCTGGAATTAATGGCCTCCACTGTGATATTCCATTGCCCAATCCAGATATGTACATTGATGTGGTTAATCAAGATACTTTTCTCGATCCTCGGCTAGTGGAAGATTTGTATAAACAGCCACCACCACCACCACTTCATAAAGAGATTCCAGACTATAACTCAATCGAAATTATACCAACTGGATGGGATGTGGAGGATCCAGCTACATCTGGAGCTACAATTCCGAAATTTATTTCTGCCGGTGATCATCATCAATCTCCGATGGAACAACCTTCACAAAGCGGTCATTCTGAGAACCAGATCCTCGAAAGTGACGCCATTGTTGAACCTGTCACAATAGTACCTACAGGATGGGGTGATGAAGATTCTGGCTCCAGCAATGCATGGGAGCTATCTGGAAGACATTCAAATGATGCTCTTTGCTATGAAAGCAGGAAGGTGGATCATAAAGATGTCAACTTTGTTAAAATGAATTATAGTTCGTGGAGTGTAGGAAGGGAGAGTTCCTGGGAGCATAACTATTACTGGAACGGCACAAAATATGGAAACTGGGGAAAGGGGAGACCTGCAGGTCGTCGATTTAGTTCCAAGCCTGCAAATTCAAGGGACAAAGGGGAATATTATCAAATGAATGGTGACTCGAGAGGTTGTAGTGGAAGGAGGAAGAACCACACAGATGAATATTATTATTGGCACGGTTGTGCTCCTGCTAATAATCACTAGAGATGAGCAGAATCAGTTGGTGTTTGGCAATGATATGAGTCTGTATGCTTCATTCCTGATGGTTTGTGCAAGACTAGGAGCCATAGGCTTCGTTTGGAACGGCTTTCTTCTTGCTTTTTAATAATTTTTTAGTACAAAAATTTTTCTATTAGAAAGCCGTTTTAAGAAGCAGTATAAAAGCTGTCCCAAACGAAACCTTAAATAGTGTTTTTTTATCATTCTAATTTTTTTTTTCTTAAATTGTTGTAGTGTAGTAAATGCAAATGATCATCTGCTTTCTGGAGACAGCAGCAGCTCAGTATAAATAAGACTAGAAATATATGTTTGTTACTTGTGTGGAAGATTGATTTCTTTCATTGCTGAGTGATGCTATTTATTATTGTTTTTTCTTAGCAAGGCAAGTGATCAAACTTCAAAGGCTGATAAATTGGAAATTAGTTATGATGGATCTTAAAAAATTTTAATTTGTTTTTAGATAGATATATAATAATAACATCAAATCTTTATCCAGTACATGGGATTTACTAAATGAATCATTTTTTTAATATTGTCTTATTAAAAGTTAAATTTTCATTTAAATTTAATAACAAATATCATTTTTAATGTTTTCTAACTTTGACTTTATCTGGGATGATTTTTTTACTGTTTTTTAAAGCAGTTTTCTAATACATCTTTTCAAATAAAGTCTAAGTCTTTTTAAGCTTATCTCTACTTTTCTTAATATAGATGGGATTTAATATAGCAATTCTTCTAATTGGGTCATAAGAAAGTTGATGCTTTATGTGACTAAATAATCTAAAATAACTCTTTCTAATCTTATCTATTATTGGAGCTATTTTAACCTTTTTCACTTGGATATTCATTTAGCATTTAGTTCCTAACTATAAATTCACTCATCCACCTAAGAATCAATATCTTTACAACACTTAATTTTATGTTTTTTTTTTTTTCATGACTAATAATTATAAATTGATAATATTTCTGTGAGTATTATTTTATTGGCATTTGTAGAATTCAATACTTAAATAAAAATGTTTAGCTTAAATAAAATATTTTACATCCGATAAATAAATTTAAAAAATATTTTATTCATAGTGAAGAAATGAAATATATATATTTTTAAATAGATAAAATACTATGTATAAAATTAATTATAATAATGATCATTAATTGGGTTAAATTTCACAATAGTTATTTGACTCTTTGTATGTAGTTATTTTAGGCCTAGAGTATAATATAATGTAATCATTTTAATTCAAGAGTATAATATTGCTCCAATTTAGTCTTTTGATTGAAAAATTCAAGGGATTAAATTAAAATCAATTTTATATCACAATTATAATATGAATAATTATTTTAGATTAATTTTGTTGAGTTTAGAGACTAAGGCTTTGTTTGGGACATCTTTTTCATTGCTTTTTAAAATGATTTTTGAGTATAAAAATTTTTAACTAAAACAATATTTTAGAAAACATTAAGAAAGTTGGGATGACTTTCTTACTGCTTTTTCAAGCAGTTTGCTAGTACAAAAATTAATTTTTTTTGCTAGTACAAAAATTAATTTTTTTCTACTAGAAAAAAATTAATTTTTGTACTAACAAGTTCTTGAAGAAGCGGTAAGAAAGCTGTCTCAAATGAAATTTAAGATTTTATTTGAGACAGCTTTTGTATTGCTCATAATTAGCTTTTTAATATGAAAATAGTTTGAATTGAAAATTTTGGTATTATAATGCTACTTTAAAAAACGAAAAAAAAAAAAAAAAGCTGTACTAAATGAAGAATAAATTAAGGCAAAATCAGACATCAATATTTTGTTTGTTACAACTTTCTTAATGCTTTTTTTAAAACTATTTTTTAGTGTAAAATTTTTATAAGAACAAGCTATTTTATAAAGGAGTATGTCCCATAGTAAATAGACCATAGTAAATAGACCATAAAAGAATAATCTGATGATTATTTTAAGATTTTTTATCATTAATTTCTGACAAAACTATGAGTGAGATTACAGGAGGGCGAAAACATCGCAGGAAATGCCGCCAGCACCTCGCCCACCCGGCGCCGTTGCTGCTGTCCGGAAGCCTTACTTCTACTACGGCCACCGTCGTCCTTCCCAAAACCGCCCCGTAGTCTTTGGTGGTCTTTTCACAAACCGCAAAACCCTACCCTTCTCCGCAGCCGACCGCCCATCTAAGCCACGCTCCCACCCCACTATCGACTTCCGTAACTGGGACCCCGACCTCTCATCTCCTTCTTCATCCTCCTCCCTTCCATCCCTCCCTGACTCCGATCGACGCCTCTCCCCTCTTGCTCGCTTCATTTGCGACTCTTTCCGTCGCCACCACCGGTGGTGCCCCGCGGTCCTGACTGAACTTAACAAACTCCGCCGCGTCACCCCCGATCTTGTCGCCGAGGTACTGAAGTCGCGCCCTCTCCTTCCTCCTTCCCTCTCCACTCGATTCTTTACAACAACAAAATCAAATTTGTATCCATTACGTGGGATTAACTAAATGAATCATTTTTCTCCATTGACTCTTATTAAGAGTCAAATTTTCATTTAAATCTAATAAACAATGGTTATTTCCAATGCTTTCTAACTAAGATTTTGTTTGGGACGATTTTTTAAATGCTTCTTAAAACAACTTTATTGTATTAGAAAGTTGCTTTAAGAAGCATTAAGAAAGCCGTCCCAAACAAAGTCCAAGTCTATTTAAGCGTATCTCTACTTTTCTTAATATAGACGGGATTTAATATAGCAATTCTTCTAATTGGGTCATAAGAAAGTTGAAGTTTTATGTGATCAAATAATTTAAGACGAGTCTTTTTAATCTCATCTATTAATGGAGCTATTTTAACCTTTTTCACATAATAAACTCATTTTGTATTCAGTCTTTAAGTGTAAATCCACTCATCCACTTAAGTATCATTATCTTTGCAACACTTAACTTAATTTTGTGTTTCTTTCTTAATGACTAATAATTATAAATTGATAATATTTCTGTGAGTATTACTTTATTGGCATTTGTAGAATTCAATAATTAAATAAAAATGTTTAGCTTGAATAAAATATTTAACATCCGATAAATAAATTTTTAAAAAATATGTTATTCATAGTGAAGAAATGTAATATTTTTTTAAATTGATAAATTACTATGCATAACATTAATTATTATGAGTATCATTAATTGGATTAAATGTCAAAATAGTTCTTTGACTATTTGTATGCGGTCATTTAAGTTTTAGAGTATAACATGATATACAGAGCCCTGCATTGAGTACCCATACCCACACCCACCCATGTACCCACCCATACCCATGGCCTTAAGGGTGGGTACTCAACATAAGGGGATAAATAAATTTGCATTGAAAATCATCGTATATCTTATATTAGTGCAATCATCATTACGTAATGTGCAACACTTAACCACGCTGTGACTACGATAAATTCTGATATGCTTCTTAAAAGTTTACAATCATAGCAAAAGGGAAACAAGCCTCAAGGCCATCAATATGTGGCAAACTGCATTAAAAAAGCATGGAATGTGGGTGGGAATAGGTAGGTATGGCATCCTGAAAGTCACCATGGGTGGGTGTGGATGGGTGAAGCCCGTCCGAGTAAAGCATGGGTATCCAACCAGGACCCCATGTAGGGCTTTGATGATATAGTCATTTTAGTTTAAAAAAAAAATAGTCATTTTATAATATTGCTCCAATTTAAACTTTGGAAGGAAAATTTTGAGAAATTAAATTAAAATCAATTTTATATCACAATTATAATATTTGATACGTCGTCAAAAAATTGTCTTAAACGAGCACGAATCTCGATGCAAAATCAAGTTGGAAACTTCAAAAATTAATTCGGAGACCATCCGAACTCCGATTTCAGCAGACTTATAGTCGAACTGAGCGTCTCGGAATTACGAACCCAACGACACCAAATTTGACTAAATCCGAGCCCAAATGCGTCCAAATCAAGGACCCAAGTGTTGTTGGAGGGTTCAAACCACAATTTGAATTACCAAACGGTTTCCAAACATAACAAGCTTATATCGAATCGAGCGGCTCGACGAGACGAATCCAACGAACCCAAGATCGCCAAATTCCGACATCATTAAGGTCTTCAAATGTCTAAAGAACAGTGCATGATCAAGAGATTCAACATCGGCCGTTCATCCGACCATTTCCCATTTACCCTTGATCTATCACCTATTTACGGGCGATGTCACCCCAAATATCTATAAATAGAGCTACCTCTTCTATTGAAAAGAGAACCCCCTGAGCTTAAGGAAAAAAGAAAGAGATCGAAGATCGCTCTTGCTTCCTAGCCCCCTTGACCACCGCTGGAGTTTTGCCGGACCACCGCTTGACGCTGTTCCTTCGCCGGACCACCACTTAAGGCCCTCACCTTTGCCGGACCACCACCTGAGGCCCGGACTTCGCCGGGCCACCACTTGAGGCCCTCAACTCCGCCGGGCCACCGCCTGACGTCGTTGCTCCACCACTTGAGGCCCTCACCTCCGCCGGGCCACCGCCTGACGCCGTTGCTCCACCACATGAGGCCCTCACCTCCGCCGGATCACTACCTGACGTCGTTGCACCACCAGACCACCACTTGAGGCCATCACCTCCGCCGGACCACCGCCTGACGCCGTTGCTCCGCCGGAACACCACTTAAGGCTCAAACTTCCGCTAAGCCGTCACTTGAGGCCTTGTGCTCCACCAGGACACCACTTGAGTCCGGACTTCTGTCGGACCACCACCTAAGGCCCGGAGTTTTGTCGGACACCCGCTTGAGGCCCTGTACTCCACCAGAATATCACATGAGGCCCGGACTTCCACCGGACCGCTACATTAGGCCTTGAGATCCACCAGGCCACCACGCGATGCTCAGAGTTATCCCAAAACACTGCAACCTCTATCACAACGGTCTTTCAGACCCGGTCTCCTGCTAGCTACGGTCTTCCAGACTCCTATCTCCTGCCGACTACGGTCTTTCAGACCTTCGTTGCCTACTATGGTCCTTCTGACCTCCATCACCAGATAATGGTCTTCCAAACCCCGGTCTCTTGCCGACTACGGTCCTTCTGACTTCCGTCGCCTACTATGGTACTTCCGACCTCTATCAATAGACAACGGTATTCTGATTCCAGCCTCCTGCTGACTACGGTCCTTCTGATTTCTGTCTCTTGCCGATAATTGCCCTTCCAACCAAATAAACATGTCTATGTTGATTATTGTAACTCTCACCATGTAATACGCTCTATATGATGTACATTTGTAACATCAGGCCAAGGTCTTCTCTCTAAGAAGGACCTCATTTGTAATCGACTGTAAATACTAGTGGATTCATTCAAATTAGGTCAGGGCCCAGTGGTTCCCCCCCCCTTCCTTTTAAGGGTTTCCACGTAAAAACTATGGTGTCTCTTATAAATGCTACACGCTCTCTCACTTATCTGACTGTGTGCTGGATCTTCGTACAATTCCAAGACGTTAAACTATAAATTTCTCTACCGCCGCGAATACTCCATAACGCAACAATATTAATAATTATTTTATATTAATTTTGTAGAGTAGAGACCAAGGCTCAGTTTGAGTCGACTTTCTTACAGCTTCTTAAAACATCTTTTTAGTATAAGAAAATTAATTTTTTATAAAAAAACTGTTTTAAGAAACAGTAAAAGCCGTCCCAAATGAAGCCTAAGATTTTATTTGGGACATTCTTTTTATTTTTCTGAATTAGTTTTTCAGTATACAATTTTTTGAATTGAAATTTTTTTTATTATAGTGTTACTTCAAAAAAATAATAAAAAAATTATTCAAAATGGAGCATAATTTGAGGCAACATCAGATATTAATATTTTGTGTGACAACTTTCTTAAATTTTTTTTAAAACTATTTTTTAATATGAAATTTTTATACTAACAAGAGATTTTATAAAGAAGTATGAAAATTATGAGTCCATAGAAGAATAATCTGATGATTGTTTTGAGATTTTTTTATCATTAATTTCTGACAAAACTATGAGTGAGATTACAGGAGTAGGGCGAAAACATCGCAGGAAATGCCGCCAGCGCCTCGCCCACCCGGCGCCGTTGCTGCTGTCCGGAAGCCTTACTTCTACTACGGCCACCGTCGTCCTTCCCAAAACCGCCCCGTAGTCTTTGGCGGTCTTTTCACAAACCGCAAAACCCTACCCTTCTCCGCAGCCGACCGCCGATCTAAGCCACGCTCCCACCCCACTATCGACTTCCGTAACTGGGACCCCGACCTCTCATCTCCTTCTTCATCCTCCTCCCTTCCATCCCTCCCTGACTCCGATCGACGCCTCTCCCCTCTTGCTCGCTTCATTTGCGACTCTTTCCGTCGCCACCACCGGTGGTGCCCCGCGGTCCTGACTGAACTTAACAAACTCCGCCGCGTCACCCCCGATCTTGTCGCCGAGGTACTGAAGTCGCGCCCTCTCCTTCCTCCTTCCCTCTCCACTCGATTCTTTAACTGGGCCGGTCGCCAGAAGGGTTTCTCCCACACCTTTGCTTCTTATAATGCCCTCGCGTATACCCTCTCGGCTGCTGGACTCTTTCGCGCCGCCGATCAGGTCCCTGAGCTCATGCTCGCGCAGGGAAAACCCCCATCCGAGAAGCAGCTCGAGATACTTGTCCGATTCCACGCCGATGCGCGCCGCCCGCTCCGGTTGTTTCATATGTACCGCAAGATGAGAACCAGGTTTGGTGTTTCCCCTCGACGTACTTTTCTTTATAATCGCATTATCGATGCACTGGTTAGCTGCGGCCGGTTGGATTTGGCTCTTGAGGTCTACGATGACCTCCGCTCTGATGATGGGCTCAAGGAGGACGCCGTTACTTTTACTATAATATGTAAGGGTTTCTGCCGTGCTGGCCGGATTGATGAGCTTGTTGATATGATTGGTCGGATGCGCAGTGAGGTCTGCCGGCCGGATGTGTTCGCGTACACAGCGATGGTTAAAATTTTGATTTCCGAGGGCAATGTGGATGGTGGGCTTAGGGTTTGGGATGAGATGGTGAAAGATGGGGTTGAGGCTGATGTGATGGCATATTCAACTTTGATTGCTGGGCTTTGTAAGGCGGGGAGAATGCAGAGGGGGAAGGAGTTGTTTAAGGAGATGAAGAAGAAGGGGTTTTTGATTGAACGCGCAGTGTATGGTGCATTGGTGGAGGGGTTTGTTGATGGAGGGCAGGCGGAATCTGGGGCTCAAATTTTGAAAGAGATGGTGGATGATGGGTATCGTGCAGATTTGGGGATATATGATTTGTTGATTAAGGGTTACTGTGCTGATGGGAAGGTTGATAAGGCGTTAAAGAGTTTCCAAATTGTAATTATGGAAGGGATTGAGCCGGAGTTTTCAACGGTGTTGCCCTTATTGATTACTTATGCAGATGGACATCAGATGGATATGTTCTACCAGTTGGTTGATCGTATCAGTGAATTGGGTTTGCCTATTATTGATCATTTGTCAAGCTTCTTCACTGCATATTTGGTGAAGGGAGGGAGGGAAATGAAGGCTCTGAAGTTGTTTGAGGTGCTGAAAAGTAAAGGCTATTGCAGTGTTGCAATCTACAATATCCTTATTGATGCACTTCACAAGGTTAAGGAGGTGAAGAAGGCATTGGTATTGTTTGAAGAATTAAATGATACAGAACACCTGAAACCAGATTCATGCACATATAGCCTTGTAATTACTTGTATTGCAGAGGATGGAGATGCTAGAGAGGCGTGCTCATATTTCAATAGGATGAAGGAAAATTCTTGGACTCCTAGCGTTGCTGCATATAACTCCCTTGTGAGAGGACTTTGCATGATGGGGGAAATCAATGCAGCTATGACCTTGGTTAAGGATTGCTTGGGGAATGTAACTAGTGGGCCTATGGAGTTCAAGTACTCTTTAAGAGTTCTAGATGCTTGTCGCTCAGGCAAACCAGAGAAAGTAATTGAGGTTTTAAATGAGATGGTGGAAGAAGGTTACCCTCTGGAGGATATTATATACTGCACTGTCATTCATGGTTTCTGCAAATATGCTAGCTCAGGGGAAGCAAGAAAGGTGCTTGAGTTCATGAAAAAAAGTAAGAGGCTTACTGAGGCTAATTTCATCATTTATGAGGAAATGCTCAATGAACATTTGAAGAAGGAGACTGCTGGATTAGTTATCTCTGGGTTAAAGTTTTTTGGTTTGGAGAAAAAATTGAAGTGGACTACTAGCTTGGATGATATATCCTAAGGCTTCTGTCAGGTATATTCTTCACTGATAAAGATACGACCTTTCAAATGTGTCGATTAGATTTTTTCATGTATAACTTTTTGACCAAAACCAAGAGCTGTAAACAAGCCTATAATACATAATGGAGAAGAAATTGACAATGGTGAAATTACTGAAGTAAGAAAAAATAACCGAGCCTTATGTCAATATATGGAGATAATTTATCTATGAGGTAGCAGCAATTGTGATGCCTTGAAGGAATTAGACATCCAACTATGACACTCATAAAAAAAAAACTATAACACTCATAGCACTATAGGATCGAAAACTCGAAGGGAGAAATTTTGCTCAAAGCCAAAACTTTTCAATTGTATGCTGTAAAATACCTATTTATAAACTTCTCATGACTAAGGCTAGCTGATAAAGTCGTCATAGGATTAGTTTCAATTTAATTTTTAATTAATTAAATTGAATAAACAGATATTCCAAATTAATTTTAAATCCTTTGTGAAATTAATTTTAAATTAATTAAACTGAATAAAAAAAAAACCTTCTCAATCTTTTCTGAAATTAATTTGAACTAAATTAAGATTAAAACTTTGTCAACTAATTTAAAATTAAGGAATGAAATGAAACTTCTATCGGCCAATACAACCCTTTTTAGCCATCATCATTGGCATACTTAAATAGAAAATTAAAATAAGCCAAATATTGGGAATTAAAAAGAAAATTAATAACTGTACATAAAATAATGCTTGATGCAATGTTTCTTACATAAATAAACATAAATTTTCCATCACAACTTTTGCTGATGCTAGTGTTGCCGCTGCTTTGTAGCTTTACGATGCTCCTCTTTTCATTGCACAATTCCTCCCTGTATGCCTCTTTTCATGTTGCTTATTTTTCTTCATGAAATTGCTTTGAAATGCATATTTGCCAATTTTTTAAAATTCTGGATTCAACTTGCAGGAAATTCTTGACATGCAGATTCCCATTGGAATATACATTTCTGTAGTAAATTTTCTTGGACAAAACTCTGAAGACAAGAATTGGGTCTATCTGTTCAGTAAGGCCCTCAACTTGGATTACTCAGTCCGCAATGCGGCTTTCGCCGATGCAAATCTTTTACCTTGAGCAACAAGCAAAATTCTCCCAAAGTCCCATCCGGCATTCTAATAGGAAACACTTGTAGATCTCAAGTTCCTATCAATCTTCGGAAAACAGTAAGATTTCTCCAAAAAATCCACACAAAACCACAAAACAGTAGATAATTTGTATTATTTGATGAAAGGGAAACGGAAAATACCAAGATTCAATTGATCCTCTATTCGAAAGGAGGATCTTTCCCTCCCAAATCTCTAGATGCCGCTAGAGCCCAAAGAAACTAAGAGATCTAAAATTTCAGCCAAATTCAAGATGCCCTAACCTAAGGAAAACAAACTATTTAATGCATAGTTGCATACAATCCAAAAGGAAATCCCTACATTCAAATTTCCCTTCTAACTTCCTCAAAAATCCTTCCTAAACTGCTCTCCCGGCTTGGGCGGGCGATCGGCGTGTACAGGAGACACGAAACACTTCCACCTCTATTACACCAGTCTAACACATTCGCCTTGTCCGGTACACATTTGTATATCTATGTGGTTAATCAAGACACATTTTGGTCCTCAGCTGTTGGAGAATTTGTATAAACAGCCAGGACAGAGGTTCCAGAATTTTACAGATAGGAACTTTATCGACGGGAAGGAATGGATGTGGAGAGTCCGGCTACAACAAAAAAAACATTATTCTAAGATTTTTTTTTAATGTTAATCTTGCCTTCCATAACGTAGCAAAGTAGATAGTACTATTTCAGTGAAGTTTCAGGTTAAGTTTTTGCTGAGAATTAGATTCTTCTACATATATACAAATCATAAGATTTATTTATGTTGCTTTGATGGTTTTAGGGTCCCTGGGAGGAAAAAATATTTTGTGCAGATACCGAATGCTGTTCGGAGCCCAATGAAAATGCGCCATGTCACCAACTGCTCGGTATCAGATGACGTGGCTGTACTTGATTCGCCTCTGGATGTTAAGCTGTGTCCGGTATCCGGGGAGAGAACTTCGTGAAGACAGTCTACAGGTTGCTCGAGTATGGCATCAGGAGACATTGAAATGGTGTTTTTAATGTAGTTTTGGGACAAATTATGCTATGGAATCAGAGTTGAATCCTGTATTGATGGAGTAGTGGATGGGGCAATTTCCTGGAACATTATAAATGCAGTAATGACAATAAAGATAGAAGCTGCGCTTCAGTTTGACAGATGGAATTATAAGTATCTGGGGCGACATTATCAAGTGATTATATATTGAGATTTTAGTTGAAGGGAGAACATAGTGGAAGATTACTGGTACCACTAAAATTCGTCAATTTTGTAGTATTTTATAACAGTTCTTAAATGACGGACTAAAATACTCTTTAGATATGATGTAGGGGCTATTTGGTTGTCTGAAAAAAGATTGCAGTGTGAAAGCAATCATTTGAGATTGTTTGGATGAGTGTGAAAGCAATCATTTGGAGTTGTTTGAATGATTGTAAAAGAAGTGCGTGAGATTAATTTTTTTATTTGCTTTGAAGGAAAATGAATGCAATGTAAGATGAAAAAGTTGTGGCCGGCGTTGGTCTGGCGGGTGGATGATGGCTGTCGAGGATGGCAGTGGCTTGCGGTGGACGGCAATGGCTTGTGGTGGCGGTAAATTTGCAATGTATTTGAAAATCATCCAAATCTGAAGAATTCTAAATATAGTGGATTTAAACTACAAAGTGAATTCTTTTTTCTTCAAAATTTTACTATATATTCATTTTTACTTCAAACTAAACACAAATATTTTCAAAACCTTTGCATTTGAAATATTTTATATCCCTTTTCCAGCAAATCAAAATCACCTTAAGCCATTGCTAAAATTAATTGATTTTTTTATTTACTGTTGTATTAACTGCCACTGAAAAGGTCCCTATTAGTAGTGATAATAACTGTTGCTTTCTTCGTCCTATTTTCCCCTCCTCGCATTGTGCCCTAGCTTGCCTCTAATCCCGTTGCATTTTTCGTGAAGTCATCCTACCACTTGCTACCGCCGACGCCGCAATGCTCACCGTCACAGTGCTCGTCGTCGTTGTGCTGATTACTGCCGTGCAGACCATCACACATCTATCAAGCCCGTTCCAGCCGTCGATCGCTTCACATTTTTTGAATTAATTTTTTCGAGGTATGAATATTTTAATCTCCAACTCGTATAGTATCTTCAGTCGTCGAGCACTTGATTATGCAACGAGCGAAACTCGATAAGCTTGACTCACGAGCTCACTAATGAGTTGAGCTTGTGTAGGCTCGTGAATCGGCTTAACTCGTTTGCACTCCTATGGATTTGTTTTATTGAAATTGTGAAGGTAAGCTATGTAGCCTTTATAGGCATCACAACTAGTTGCAAGACTAAGGAGCTGGTAGAGATATTTTAAAATTGAGATGTGGTAATTTATGTGAGCGTGGTATCTTCGGCAGAGAGAGGAGAGCGAAACAGAGAGAAAAGAATGAAAAATTATATTAACTGGAATAAAAATCATACATGCGAGTACAGGGCTTTAAATAGAAACCGATAGGTACAGGTGAACTAATAGACCTTCGCTCATAGCCTCCCTCAAATTAATCATTCTTGTTCCTGAATGGTTAATTTGCTGCGAAGCATGTTAAAGCGAGTAGGATGAAAAGCCTTAGTAAAAATATCAGTCGTTTGTTCTGTGGAGGGTAAATGTACAAGTTGTATGTCACCCGAGAGAAGTTGTTGCTGGATAAACTGATAGTCTATCTCTATATGTTTGGTGCGAGCGTGGAAGACGGGGTTTTTAGCAATCGCTATGGCAGAGGTGTTGTCGCAGTAGATGTTGGTCGGAAGCGGTTGAGGATGTCCGAATTCTGTTAGTAATCTTCGGAGCCATATAACATCTGAGATGGCAGCGGAGAGAGCATGATATTCTGCCTCGGTGGAGGATTTGGCGACAGTAACTTGTTTCTTTACCGTCCAAGCCACAAGGGTGGTGCCCAAGAAGGTGCAATATCCTGAGATGGACTTTCGATCTGCGGTATCCGATGCCCAGTCGGCGTCGGTGAAGGTCCGGAGAATAAGATCACCTATTGTGATCGGTAAACCATAGGACAGTGTGCCAGTGATGTAGCGAAGAATGCGCTTGAGAGCTTGAAAGTCCGCATTTGTGGGATGATGCATATGTTGACAAATCTGGTTGGTGGCGAATGCTATGTCAGGATGTGTGATCGTAAGATATTGCAAAGACCCAGCTAGGCGGCGATAGAGGGTTGGATCGGAGAAGGCCGAGGTGTCGGAAGGAGGATTTTTGGTTTTGACCGAGATTGGTGTTGAGGCGGGCTTCATACCAGAGAAGCCAGCATCGTGTAACATCTTCTCTGCATAGTGCTTTTGGCTGAGAAAGAGTCCAGTTGGTTTGCGGTTTACTTGGATGCCTAGGAATAAGTCAACTTCACCAAGTTGTTTAAGAGCAAAGTTGGAACGGAGAGTGACCAGAAGTGATTGAATGCTGGGGTTGTCATTTCCTATGACAAGAAGATCATCGACGTAAATGAGAATGAAAATTTGGATATTGTTTTGGCTATATAAAAGGAGAGAAGGGTCAGAACGACTGAACCTGAATCCGTGTGATTGAAGGAATTGTGTTAACTTGCATACCATTGCCGAGGCGCTTGTTTGAGGTCGTATAGTGATTTTTGAAGTTTGCAAACGTGATCGGGAAGATTGACGTCGACAAAGCCAGGGGGCTGCCTCATGTAGATGTTGTCTTGAAGGTCGCCGTGGAGAAAGGCATTGGCGACGTCAAGTTGAAGAATCTTCCAATTCCGATGTAAAGCAATAGTGATAAGAATGCGAATCGTGACCATCTTTGCAACGAGATTAAAAGTCTCATTGTAGTTTACTCCATGCTGTTGATTATATCCCAAGGCGACTAGACGAGCCTTGTAGCGATCGAGTTGGCCATCTGAGAGAAATTTGGTCTTGTAAGTCCATTTGCAGCCGAGGATGGGCACACCGGGAGGAGGGGGAACGAGTGTCCACGTGCTCTGTTTCGTGAGAGCAGTGAATTCTTCTTCCATTGCTTTCTGCCAGTGGGGCTGCTTCTTGGCTTGATTGTAAGAGACTGGTGTATTAGTTGGTGAGGTGTTGCTGATGAGAGACAGGATAGCTTTTGGTTTGGAGATGCGTGATTTGAGACGAGTCTGCATGGGATGACAGGGTTGGCGCGGTTCAGGGATCAGCGGCAGAGTGGTACTGACGGAATTCTGAGATGGTGAAGAGATGACCGGTTCTGAGCAATGTAGAGGGTGTGTGCTTATAGAAGGCTGGGGAGCATTTTTAGGAGGTGGCGGTGGTGCCATATGAGTGCTGATAGTTGTAGGTGTGAGAAGCAGGGGCGGGATGGGAAGGTTGTTAGATGTGGTAGGATTGGTAGGCTGAGGATTTGCTGTGCGGTAAGGAAATATATGTTCGTTAAACGTGACGTGCCGAGATATGTAAACCTTGTGGGTAACCGGATTATAACATTGTAGCCTTTGTGAATTGAGGAGTAACCAACGAATATGCATTCGGCGGATCGCGGTGTCAATTTGTTAGGCGCATACGGTTTTAGCCAGGGAAAACATTGACAGCCAAAAGTTCGAAGAAAATGGTAGTCTAGTGTGCGGCCATGAAGGCGTTGAAACGGGGAGCTCATGCCAAGGGTCTTGGTTGGAAGACGATTAATTAAATAATTCACCGTGGAAAGGGCATCAGTCCAGAAAGTGAGCGGCATGTTTGCTGCATGAAGGAGAGCCCGAGTGGAGTCAAGGAGATGCCTGTGTTTGCGTTCAGACACACCATTCTGTTCGGGTGTGTGAGGACAGCTACGCTGATGGTGAATGCCGTGAGTGGTGAGAAATGTAGTGAAATCAGTGCTAGTGTACTCACCGCCGCCATCAGAGCGTAAAGTTTTTGGTCTCGTATGGAAGTGTGTTTTGATGAGTTTGTATAGTATTTTGAATTTTGAAAAAGTTTCGTGTTTTGCTTGCATTAAATAAATCCACGTGAACCGAGTGTAATCGTCTATAAAAAGAACATAGTAGCGAGCCCCTTCGGGAGACGGAGTAGGGGAAGGCCCCCAAACGTCGGAGTGAATTAACTCAAACGGAGCATGAGAAAGCAAATCATGTCTATTAAATGGAATTTCGTGACTCTTGGTCACACTGCAAGAAATACAAGAATTAAGAGAAGATACATTGTGAATATCAGAAATATGACTAGCTACGGCCGTAAGAACTTGGCGGTGCAGATGTCGAAGACTAGCGTGCCAAAGGTTGGCGGTGTTGGTGTTGACGTGAAGAGCCTTGTGCTGGTTGATCTGCGGAGTGTAAATCCGGTAGAGCCCATTATGGAGAGGTCCACGTAGAAGCGGACGACGATCCTGCGTATCCTTGATAACAAAGCCATTAGCGTTGAATTTAATAGAAACATGATTTTCCAGTGTGAGTTTAGAAACAGATAAAAGACTGTGAGATAGAGAGGGCACATGCAAGATTTTGCGAAGGTGAAGCTTACGAGGGGTGTCGGGGAGCGGTAGGATGCCTTGACCTGTGTTGTGGATCGGTATGGATGACCCATTTGCAATCAAGACATTGTCTTGACCGGGATAGGGATGCGGATGTTGAAGATTATGAATGTCGGGCGTGAGGTGGGAAGAAGCCCCTGTGTCCAAGATCCAGCTCGGCGAGGGTGGAGATTGAGATTGTGCGAGGAAGGCTTTCGGAGGTTTAGAATCAGTGGGAGCATACTTGAAGTTACACCTATGCCAGCAGTTGAGGGCTATGTGTCCAAACTTCCCGCAGATTTGGCACATTGGACGAGTGTTGTTCGGGAATTGTGGATCGGACGCCTGAGGAGCCGGAAAAGATTGGTTCGGTTGATTCTTGAATCTTGGCGGGCGTTTCTGAGAACGGCCTCGTTGGCCGTTGTATGAATTTGTGTAGAGAGCAGTAGATGTAGCTGTTGTGATAGTTTCTTTGGCAAGTTCTCGATGGACATTTATTTCTTCGCTGCATAGAAGAGAATAGAGGTTATCTAAATCAAGTGGAACCGGGTATGTGCGTATTGCAGCTTTGAATGAATTGTAGGTGGAAGGTAGGCCATTGAGGATATGTAGTATGATATCCTCGGGATCCACTCGAGCGCCGGAGGCAGCGATGTTGTCCACGATCGATTTTACTTGCTGAAGATATTGTTGCATTGAGGATTCCTTCATCTGGATGTGATGAAGTTCGTTCTTGAGTTGTATAACTCGAGAACGACAAGTCGGGTTGAGCCGGCGCTCAAGAACCTGCCAGGCATCATGAGCGGTTTGCGAGGTGATCACGTAGGGTAGAATGGAAGGTGAGATGGTGGAAAACATGACGAAGAGTAGATTATTATCTACAAGATGCCATTTGCGGGAATCTGGCGAGGTGTCGTCGGAAGGAGTAGCGCTGCCAGTCAAGTGGCCGGCGTAACCGTTGGCTTGGAATTGCTGGAGAACTTGTATGCGCCAGATGGAGTAATTCTCTGTAGTGAGAGCATGAGGAAGAAGATTCTTGATATTTGATATCAAGAATTTGAGCTGCACCGGAATGACAAGATCGGCGACGGGAGGGTGATCTGTGTGAAGGGAGGAGGCGGGAGGGTGAGAATCGGTTGATTCTTGATCAGTCATGAGTGGCTCTGATACCATGTGAGCGTGGTATCTTCGGCAGAGAGATGAGAGCGAAACAGAGAGAAAAGAATGAAAAATTATATTAACTGAATGCTATTATTGTTTTCTAAAAAGAGCTTATTTTGTATTAAAAATTATTTAAAAAAACAGTAAAAAAGCCGTTATTTTTTCTAATGTTTTGACTGAGCTTCAATGTTTTATTGTATCTGATTATTCTTATAATTTATTTTTTCCTATTTCTTATGATAATTGATAAAAATGCAGCTTTAGTTGTCTTTCTCTACCAGGAATTTTCTGTTTGTTTAGTATTTTTTTCTGTCGTACTGCTGAAGTTTGAGCATCTGATTGCTTTTCATTTACGTTATGCTTGGAAGTGGCACAGCAGAAGTTTCTTCTTTTATCTCTTTGGAAGGCAAAACTCTTTGAGTTCTCTCAGCCATGTTGAGGTGGTCAGAGAAGAGAAGAATGCAAGTTGAAAAGTACACGGTTAACCTGATGGTGAGAAATTGACTAAACTAATTGTTATGCATGAAATCTAGTTGTGTTGATCTATCGGATTGTTCTGTTGCCTCGGACTTCAAGTTTCTTGTGCTTGCTGGGGGTTATCCCCTGCTCGAAATTTTTTTTTTTCGTACAACTCTCTGGCATTATGTACCTGAGTGCCCTGACGTTATTTTCCCGAGCGCCCCAGCGTCGAACGACAAAGAGCATAGCGCCACAACACTTTAGATTCGAAGCCGCAACGCTGCGAGTTTGAGTGTCGCAGTGTCATCAAATAGAGACTGCCCTAAACTGGCACCGCAGAGTTGCGAGACAGACCAGACAAATTTCTTTCTCATTTTTTCTCAAAGGTTGCATCCCTTGATAGTTATAACTGGTGAGAGATCTATATTTTTTTCTCTAAATTTTCATAGTGGATTTCTTGATGTGGTGTGACTTCGTGTTTTTTTCCCCTATTTTAAGTGTTTTCATGTTAAATCCTTGTCATTTACTTTCCGTTGTTTTTAATTTCTTGCTTGTTTTGCTATTGTGGTGTTTACTCATCCCCAACACTAATCATATAATGAAGAAATTACTAATTATTATTTAACTAGTTCCTGCAACTATGGGAATCCGGCTAGGCTGAAATTGCAGCTGGGCAATTCGGTTTGAGCTGTAAAAGTGCATTTGGGTTGCTCGATAGCCTCTTTTTGTGGATTTTGTTTTGTATTAATGGGTTATTTGGTTGAAAGTAAAATGAGTGTAATGCAAAATGAATGCAGATATTTTAACTTTTTAGATGTTTGCTTTGACACAAACGTATTCTAAAATCACTTGGTTAAGTAAAAATACTCCATTCAAGAGAAAAAGAAATTCGCGAGCGCGGGCAAGAGAAAAAAGTCCATTTCACGATAGCATTTCTTTCTCAATTGTCACGAGAACCATCGTGGTTTCTTCTCCATTGTTGCAGAAACCATCGTCGTTTCTTCCTCCAAGTTGAGAGCTTCGATCAGATAGCTTTTGAGCTTCTCTATTTCGTCGTGGCTATTAGACTTTTGTTGCTTCGCATCATGTAGAGTTTTGTTCGAGCCACTTCATGGGCTCCTTGCTATTTTGACTTCTCCCCTTTGACGACGTTTCCTTCCTGTCAGATCGGAAGTCACCGAAGCAACTATAGGAGCTCGCTCATTGTGAAGGAATTTGTCTTTCCCCCTTTTGCGTGCTTCTTTAGCCAAATCCTGTCAATCCGAGAAATTTCAGGATTTTTAGGGATTTACGGCCCAAAGGGGAGACAGAGGATTTATCATGTCGTTGGGTTTAGCGGGTGCTCAAATCTCGTTATTTCCTTAAGATTTTTTGTTAATTATGTAGAACGAAGAATCCCAGGAAGAGAAGCAGCTACTGCTCCCTTTCTCTCTGAGCAATTAAGCTTTTAGACTTGGTTACGTTGCTTTCGTAAAGGCTATGTCCGGATGCCAGCAAATTATGTGTTTGTGTGGTAAGAAATGAAGTTTACATTATCTGTGATTAGAAAATAGATGTTAGTGTTTATGTGTTTTTGTTTATTTGTTGAAGCTTGGTCAGTAAGTTAGCTTGTGCTTTATTTCGATGTGCTTAAGTTGTTCGATGAGTTCTTAGTGTGTAAAGATGTATGTTCTTGGATGGGTATTGCTTAGTTGTTTATGATACCGTGTCTTTGACTAGATTGTGGATGTGTGGATTCCATTTTTTTCTCCTTTCATCTAGCTTAGATCAGCTTAGATCATGTTCCTGAGCTATAGAAATTATCAAATTGTTCGTTATTTTCAACTACAGTGATTTTACTTTACTCTGTATGCACCCAATCAAACAGATTAAGTAGTTGTCACCTGTATTCACATTACAGACAATCAAACAGCTTTAAAATATTTACTTTAGTTGTTTGTATTGCTGTCTTTGGAAAGTTCTTCCTTAGTTCTTACCCACTTTTCGTATTTATATTATGTATAATGTTGCGCTCTAATTTTTCTTTTTAATGGAAACTTTTAACGATTAGGTTGACACCCCTAACTTTGATAAAAAATAATAATATTGATAAAATAATTTTCATATTTAAAATTTGATCATTACCTTTTAATCATGCCACCACCACCATCGACCACCACTAGCCCTCGCTAGTCTCCCACCGCTCATAGTCGCTGTCTTTTTTGCTGCTTTAAATTTTTTTATAATAAAAAGATGTTTTCTGTCATAATATTAAAAAGTTATTTTCTCTAAAACAACTTCATAAATCAATAAAAAAGAGTTTCACAGTAAAGTCTAAGATGCATTATAAAAATAAAAAAAACAAGAAAATTGAAGGGGCACATCCTGCTTTTTTATTTTTTTTATTTTTTATTTTATTTTTAACTTCTTGCTTATTTCTGTATATTGCCTATGGATATGTTAGCTATTGATATTAGCAATTGTCCATCAAATAGTAATCACTTGGACGAATGAAATTGAAAATCAAAGAAATAACTCAATAAGTAATTTTATAAGATAAAAAAAAGGCGATCGAAATTGAGTTTATTAGAGATGAAAATAATCCTCTTGATTGGTTTGAAAATGTTAGTGCAAAGTATCAATGGATAATCATATATATCTTTGATGCCCTCAATAATAAACAAGTTGAGTGTTATGTTGATGATTTAATAATAGCAATAAAGCTCAGGAAGGTCATCTCTTTGCTTTGAGAATTGGGTTTGTATTACAGCATAATACTTTGTATTTAAGTTGACATGCCACTTGGCATTAGATGATTGGTGTTATGTCATTACTGTATCTATATATAGACCATAGCTTGTACTTGTAGAACAACATAATAATAATACTTTCTTTATTCTTTTACTCTGGTCTTCTTCTTCCTTGGCATTAAGCTCCCGTGGGTTGCCATTCTTCATGGTATCAGAGCAGGCAAGATAGAAATCGCTAATGGAAATCTCCTCCTCCTCCCCGTCCGGCGATCGATCTGGCTTGGCAACATCTGCTGAAGATCCGATCATCTCTTCCACCCTCAAGTTCGTTGTCTCCAACGTCAAGAACATTATTCATACTCACCTCACCGCTGATAACTATCCGCTGTGGAAATCTCAATTCCTAAAAGTCTTCAAGGCAAATGGCTTTGCCAAGTTTCTTGATCCAAGAACTACATCTGACTGCCCCTACGATCAGTGGAAATTCACCGATCAAAATCTCGCAGCGGCACTCTGTTCTACAATCTCGGCATCGATTCTTCCCTATATTGTGAATCTTGAAACCACTGCTGAAATCTGGTTAACACTTGAAAACCGATTTCAATCGACGAATCGATCCAAGGTAATTCAATTAAAGAACGAACTGCATAATGTCACCCTCAAGAATCGCCCAATGATGCAGTATCTTTCGGAAATCAAGTCGATCGTCGACCAAATAGCTGCTGCAGGCTCCTCGGTCGACAATGAAGACATTATTCTATACATCTTAAAGGGGCTTCCTAGTGTATATCAATCCTTCAAAACGTTTACACGCACCAAGTCAAATCCATTAAGTCTGGAGAATCTATATTCTCTTCTTCTTAGTGAAGAGATTCACATTCATACTGATGCCGAACAAGATCTTGGATCCACCGATTCCAAGCTCGCACTCTATTCCTCTCAGGGCGGGGTCGGCGCTCTAGAGGCAAAAATCAGATGTCTAATTCTGACTCTTCTCAGCGAAATCAAGAAGCATCCAATGTCATTTGCCAAATCTGCTTGAAGAAGGGCCACTCCGCGCAGAGTTGTTGGCATCGACAGAATCTTCAATACACGCCAACTCCACCAAACCAGTCTCGATGAGCTCTTCTTGCTGCCTCCGATCAATCTTCGTCCAACTGGTTCCTAGACACAGGCACAACTTCTCATCTCACCAATTCCATGGAAAACCTGTCCATCTCCAACTCCTACAATGGCTCTGACACGGTTACATTCGGTGATGGGCGTTCGGTAAACATAAGTCACTCCGGTGATGGACTGTTACCAACCCCATCTCGTAAGTTGCTCTTATCACATATCTTGCATTCTCCTTATTTTCAATACAATCTTGTTTCTATTTCTCAACTAACTAAAGATAACCATATTTCAATCACATTTGATCAATTTGGCTTTGTTTTCAAGGATCTGAAGACACAAAAGGTTCTTCTTCAAGGACCATGTAGCAACGGTCTTTACTCCGTTCCCAAGCTCGCCCCTCATGCGCTCTCGGCTACTGTCAGCAAGTCTTCCCCGTGGCACAACCGCATGGGTCATCCCAATGATCGGGTCCTCCAGTCCATTTCCGCTGCTAACAGCCATTTACATATAGCTAATACGAAAATCCCCTGTCATGTTTGTAATGAGTCTAAAGCTCATAAACTAGTCTTTCCTATTTCTGCTCATAACTGTTCTTCTATTCTTGAATTACTTCATACTGATGTTTGGGGCCCTGCTCCAGTGTTATCGAATCAAGGCTATCGCTACTATTTGATTTTTGTAGATGATTTCTCGCGTTACACATGGGCTTTTCCGATGCGTCAAAAATCGGAAACTACTAATATTTTTATGCATTTTAAAACACAGATAGAAAATTACACCTCCAAGAAAATCAAAATGCTTCGTTCTGATGGTGGCACCGAATTCGTTAATCACGAGCTCCGTAATTTCCTTCGCACTCACGGGATCACTCACGAGCTCTCATGTCCCTACACTCCTGAACAGAACGGCGTTGCTGAACGCAAGCACCGCCACATCATAGAAACTACTCGCACTCTTCTTTCCACTGCGTCCATGCCATACACGTACTGGCCGGAAGCCGTTCTCACGGCTGTGTATCTTATAAATCTCATGCCTACTCCGACCTCGCAGTATACCACACCCTATGAACTTCTTCATCACAAATCACCGACCTATGACCATCTGCGTGTCTTTGGCTGTGCCTGCTACCCTCTCATACCGTCACACAATAGACACAAACTTCAACCCAAAGCCAATCTCTCCATCTTCTTGGGCTACTCTGACGTGCACAAAGGATACAAGTGTTTTGATCAACTCACAAACAAAATCACCGTGTCTCGTAATGTTCTTTTTCATGAGAACGTTTTTCCCTTTGCCTCCAATACCACACCTCCTATTTCCCATCCAGCTCCTAATACTCCTGCTTTTCTTCTTATACCTACTTCGGCCCCCACTACTTCTCACACCACCACTCTCACCCAACACACGTTACCCGCCTCCAATCCTCCCATTCAGCCAGCCGAATTTGAGTCCAGTACACTACCTACTGATTCACATCCTCCTGCCATGTCCCTCACTATGCCTCCTTCCCATCATATGATCACTCGCACTAAAACGGGGTCTCTAAAACCCGTCAGCCGTCTCAACTTGTCTCACGCTCATACCCTTCACTCTCCGCTGATCACGCCCACTAATTACATTGACGCTTTTAAGATGCCCGAATGGCGTAAGGTAATGGCTGCCGAGTTCTTTGCCTTGCAACGTTAGGGTACCTGGCATTTGGTGCAACCTCCGACCAACGCGTCTGTCATTGGTTGCAAATGGACATATCGGACGAAATTCCATTCCGATGGCACGGTAGCTAAACACAAAGATCGCTTAGTTTCTCTTGGCAATCACAAGAGTTTGGCACCGATTACACGGAAACTTTTAGTCCCGTTGCTAAGTTACTATTCGTATCTTACTTGCTATCGCTCTTTCTTATAATTGGCCTGTGCAACAGCTAGATGTTGCTAATGCATTTCTGCACGGGAATTTGACCGAAACGGTTTATATGCAACAACCAAAAGGCTTCGAGGATCAGTCAAAACCTGACTACGTATGTAAGCTTCACAAAGCTATTTATGGGTTGAAACAAGCTCATCGGCAATGGTATAACACGTTCGCTCAACATCTCCTCTCACTCGGGTTCTCTCAAAGCAATGCGGATCCTTCTCTCTTAATTTTACAAATAAATCTGTTAAAATTTTTCTTCTAATTTACGTCGATGATATTCTTATAGCAGGCAATGACGTTCAAGCTATATCAACCGTTATCCAGAACATGAGCTCCCGGTTTGATATGAAACAGCTCGGCAACGTGAATGACTTTCTTGGCATTCACATTGACACTCTACCCGATTGCTATTTTCTGTCCCAGGAACTCTACGTCTCCTCCATTCTACAACAAGCGCAGATGCTTGACTGCAAAGCTCTTGCCAATCCCACGGTCACCAAGTTTCCTTCCGATTTCGTGCCTGATCCTATTCTCTCCGATCCCTCAACTTATCGACGTCTCACTGGCTCTCTCCAGTACTTAACGCTAACTTGGCCAGATATTGCTTTCAGCGTTAATCAATCATCACAGCATATGCATAACCCTCTTCCTGAGCACGTCTACCTACTGAAACAATTGCTTCGCTATCTCAAAGGTACTATAGACTATGGCATCCCCATTACGAAATCTAAACTTGATCTTTCTTCTTTTTCAGATGCTGATTGGGTCGGTGATCCCCACACTAGGAAATCTACCTCCGGTTTTTGCTCTTTTCTTGGGCAAACGCTCATATCCCGGACTATTAAGAAGCAACATACAGTCGCACGCTCCTCTACAGAATCAAAGTACCGCTCCCTTGCTGCTCTCGTCTCTGACATCATTTGGCTCCGGCGTCTTCTTTCAGAGTTCGGTATCACCCAGCATCAGCCCACGGACATACATTGTGACAATACCTCTGCGATTGCACTCGCGAATAATCCCGTTTTTCACGCCCACACAAAGCATATAGAGATCGATCAAAAATTTGTACGGGATCACATTCAGCATCAACACATTCGTCTACTTCCCATAAACACTCTTGATCAAGTAGCCGATATCTTCACCAAATCTCTCTCTACTCCACGATTTCAACATCTTAGGCTCAAATTGACTGTCATGCAACGACCCATCAATTTGCGGGGCGATATTACAGCATAATACTTTGTATTTAAGTTGACATGCCACTTGGCATTAGATGATTGTTGTTATGTCATTCCTGTATCTATATATAGACCATAGCTTGTACTTGTAGAACAACATAATAGTAATACTTTCTTTATTCTTTTACTCTGTTCTTCTTCTTCCTTGGCATTAAGCTCCCGTGGGTTGCCATTCTTCAGTTTGAATGACTCAATTGCTAAAACTTTTAAGTTTTGTTTGGAAAATCTTTTTACCATAGTTTTTGTTACATTTAAAAATAACTTATGCTAAAAAAAAGTTTTAGAAAACAATAAGAAAACAGACTCAAACGAAGCCTTAGATGAATCCTTAAATAGCTTCATTGCATAGATTAAAAAAAAAGTTAAAATCATTAAATACGTTCATCAAAAGTTTTCATATTTAGCATTGAATTTCTTGTCTTTTGCATGCCATGAAATATACTATTTAAAAAGAAATTTGAAATGAAAACAAGATTTTATGAAATTAATGTTATTTTTTTTTCAATTGGAATTCATTATTTTTGATATATATAAAATTACTATAAAAGTAAACATTATGATTATATATTAAAAACAATGAAAAAATATTGGCAGGACTTGATTTAATCACAATAGATTTTAAATTTGATGAATTTATTTTGAAATAAATATAATATAAATTATTTATGTATTTCACTCTTTAGCTGTGATATACAGTTTTTTTAAATAATTTTAATTAAAAAAATTTTTACTTAAAAATTATTTTAAAAAATTAATAAAAAAACTGTTTCAATAAAACTTTAATTGGAAATTTCAATAATCAAAATTTCTAACGTGAACAACCAGCTAGCTAGCCGTTGCGAGATGGGAAAGAATTTTGACGTGATTCACCAACGGTCAAAAAATATTTTCAAATCTTCTCTCCTCCAACGGTCATCGCTTTTCCTTGCTTTCCTCGCCGGTCACTAAATAGACTTTAAAAAAACCCCACCCTTCTCACAGCCCCATCTCTCTCTCGCTCTCTCTCTTCTCCTCTGCACTGCTAATTCGGAGGAGAAAGAAACTGGTCCTTGAACGCTTCCCTTATTCTTTTTCGTTTCAGAAACCTTGCTCTCTGTTTGCAATCAGAACTATCTCAGCTCTCAAACTAGTAGTAAAGCCAATATGACGAGAAGAGAGGGCCACGATGCGCATGATAACATCCCAGGAGGCGCTGCCGTTGCTCCTCCGCCACCATTCCTGGGCGCCGCCGCTAAGCAGCCTCAGCCGATGGCTAAGGGAACTGAAGGACAGTCTGTTCTGAAGAGGTCCTCATCTCATACTTCTCTCTACTCAAGCATTTAATCTTTCTTTTACTCCCTCGAGACCTTTTTCTCTGTTTCTCAAGAATCGTTAGGTTTTTGCTTCCAATAAAATATTCATTTGATTGGAATTTCTTTTTTTCTTCCTTTTTAATTTTTTTTTTATTTCTCCTCCGTCAAGAAGACCTCGCAATTCAGAATTTCAAATTCGATCTCACTCAAAAGGAAAAAGTTAGAACATACAAAAGGGGAAAGACTTTTGATTTTTAACCTCCAATGCTTTGTTTATCTGCTTGATTTCTTTCTCTATTTTTTTTTCTTTCCTGCTCGTTCATGAGTAATTTTCCCTCGATAAAGAAATCCAAGAATTTTTTTTTTATTAACTTATGTGTATGTCTTCTTTTGTCAACAAACAGGTTGCAATCCGAACTTATGGCTCTAATGGTAAGAAGACAGGAAATTCCGCATCAATGGTTTATTTTTTCTTTAATATTCTTTCTTCATCGCTTAAAAATAATTTAATTCATCCAGATGCGTGGAGATCCTGGGATATCTGCATTTCCTGAGGGAGATAACATCCTTTGCTGGAAAGGAACTATCAGTGGAGGAAAAGATACAGTTTATGAAGGAATGATTTACAAACTCTCCCTTTCCTTTTCTACTGATTACCCTTTTAAGCCTCCGAAGGTTAAGTTTGAGAATCCATGTTTCCATCCAAATGTGGATCTCTCTGGCAACATTTGCTTGGATATTCTTCAGGTTCTTTTACACCAAAATTTCTCTTTAATTTCAATATTTGATCTTTCTCTATGTTGGGAGATCTGATATCTGATATGTTACTGGCTTCTACAGGATAAATGGTCATCGGCATATGATGTTAGAACAATACTGCTCTCAATTCAGAGTCTCTTGGGAGGTAAGAAAGCATGGCCGAGTTCTTAAAATTTTACAAACTACCTTCGTAACTGGTGCTAACTGTATTCAGAACATCAATAATTTCCTGTAGATTTTGATTCTTTTGTATAAGTGGCGTTCACTGTATGTTTTTTTTAATCTTGTTTTGTTTCAGAGCCTAACAATGACTCACCTCTCAACACCCAAGCTGCTGCACTTTGGGCAAATCAAGAAGGTGTTCAACGCTCTTCTATTTCTTAAGCATTAATAGAGATAAATAACGAATTATTAAGCTGAATTTGTTATTAATACTCTTCCTTTCCTTATGTTGCAGAGTTCAAAAAAATGGTGGAGAAGCTCTACAAACCTGCTTAATTTTCTTTGGCCATCACTCTTTTGTGTCTTTGACTGCTCTGCAGACTGCAAAACTGCTTCATGGTTTATGTGCCGTCAGATTTTTTTTTTTTTCCAATGTTATGAGATCAACATTTGTTTTGCAAATCTATATAGGCTTATGATATTTTAAATGAAATTTCAATTGCAGTACTGATAATAATAGAATAATTTTTCTTAAGTCTTAACTGAGCTGAATGAAATTGCTTATGCTCAAAATAAATTTGATTCAACTCGAGCTCCAAAATAAAATATACCAAACTTTAAAATCAATTAGATAGGACTGATAGTAATGACCAAAATTTGAAACTCAGCATACTTTTTCTCTATTGGCTTGCTCAAAATAAATTTGATTTAGCTCATAATCTTTCTCAAGAATGTCTTAAAATCAATTCATGTATGATCACAAATATATGGTACATGTGTATGCACACACCCAAATAAACACATTTCCAAATAAAAACACATTTAGCTCATGACAAACAATTTTTTATGATACTACTAATTTAGTGAAATCTCAAAACTTTTAAGTCAAGAGTTTCTATTTCTCTATAATCTTTATTCTTTCTCTTGTAGACTGTGCGAATAAAGTTTTGGTATTCATGAATTATTTTTGGTAAATGAAATTTTTTTTTTCATTCAACTGTATAGCACTGTCGATCAGGTAGACTGGAGACAGAGTTGAGTATCGCGGTGTTGCGAGTCGAGCTGGACAATTTTCTTTCTTATTTTTCAAGAAGAGTTGTGTCCCTTGATGGTTTTTGTATTTTTTTATCTTTGTTTGTTTATGAGAGAACAACACAAGAGAATAAATACAAGAAGAGAGCGAGAGAGAAGAGATATATATACTATAGGGAAAGGCCTCATTTGCAATCAATGACAAAAATTAGTGAAATCATTTCAATTGGCTTTAGATATCATAAACTCATAACATTATGCCTAAGCATGAAGCAAGTCGTGGTGGAGACGAGGTGCAATTGCACACGCTAAATCTGCCAAGTTCAAGAAAACTCTATTGTGTCAGAATAAAAGAAATTTTGAACTTGTTAGAACAATCATGAACTACCCAAGTCCTTAATGAACTTGCTAATATCATAGGGAAGTTGGAAGAATACATGAATTCCGAGGATAATCAAAAAACATTCGCCCAAGATAAGAAACTAGTCATCCATATTCACTCAAGCAAGTTTTTGTTTTCTTTCAATGAAGTTGATGACTTTAATCAATAAGTTAATTGGTGGCCTCATTGATTGACGACTTATGTCAAGTTAGTCAATGATTATTTTAATAAAACTAAGTAGCACACTACATGTATCTAATTGAAAACAACCATTTAGCATTGTTATGTATTTTTCTTATTTTTGTAGATTAATATGTAGCCTTTCACGTAACGGTAAACTTTTAGTATGTGCGGAGACTGGACGACGAGAACCGTCTAGATTTGCTTCCCTTTAGTTGCCGGGTGAAATTCTGATGGTGATCGACGAGAAGTCTCTTCCTTCTCTTCCTTGCTTCCTTCTCTTCTCTTCTTCCTTTAGCCTTCTTCTCTCCCCCCACCCTCCTTTGGGGGTCCCTTTCTATGAGAAATGAGAGGTCTATTTATAATTTTTTGAGAGTGACATGACGAGTAAATAGGAGGAAGATCAGGGATAAATCGGGAGTTGTTTGAATGGACGGCTGATGTAGAATCCCTTGATCATGGGCTGTTAATCGAACATTTGAAGGCCCTAATGATATCAGAATTTGACGACCTTGAGCTCGTTGGATTTGTCTCATCGAGCAGCTCAATTTGACTATAAGCATACCATGTTTGAAAACCGATTGATAATCCAAATTATGGTTTGAACCTTCCAAATGTGCTTTGGGTCTTTGATTTAGACTCATTTGAGCTCAGATTGAGTCAAATTTGGTGTCGTTGGGTTTGTATTTCTGAGAGGTTCAGTTCGATTGTAAGTTTACTGAAATCGGAGTTCATATGGCTTCCTATTTAATTTTTGAAGCTTCCAACATAATTTTGCCTTGAGATTCATGCCCGATCAAGATAATTTTTTGATGATATATCAATTATATATATATTCAATGCATGAATGATCAGACAAATCAATCAGCAAAAGATAATTAGATGCCAACTCTTATCGAATTGGTTAACACATGAATCAGACAATATATCCCTTACACATGAATAAGACAAATCAACTCTTATATATTGTCAAAGAAAGAGTCAAATTGTTCAAAAAATAAATTCATATCTATTGCTTGAGTGGTTCAATTCAACTTAAACTTTCATAAACATCATTAATGCAACCAAATAAACATCATTAATACAACCAAAGATAAAAACTATGCAGATTTACCAATTCTATTCATTTATATGTATATATATACATGGAAGCAACTACAGAATGCAGCAACAGAAACACCTATATGTCTTACATATCCATGGCTTTTTCAAAGCATCTTGTCTTCCTCTTTGTTCTAATCGTTTTCATAATTTCTGGAATCAAAGGAGACGACACTGATTTGATCAGAATGGAATGTGCGAAGAACTTCACCAACAATGAAAACTTACAAGCCAACATCAAAAATACGATCTTGGATCTGGTGACTAATACTTCTGCTTATGGTTTCGCAAACTCCTCCCATGGCAGTGATAGCGATACTGTCCATGGTCTTGCAGAGTGTCGGGGAGACGTTAGCGTTCAGTCATGCTCCGCATGCATCGCTAATGCAGCACAACAGATACAAACAACATGCTGGAATGCAGCCGAATCAGGTATTTGGTATCAGTATTGCTTCCTTCGCTATAACACCAGCAACTTTAATGGGCAAGCAGACATGAACGTAGTGTCTGTGTGGAGCTCTTCAAAGAATATGACGAATCCGAAAGTGTACACGATTACAGTACATGAGTTATCAGTTGAGCTTTGGTTTACAGCTTCATATAATGTAGAAAACAGGAAGTTTGGGTGGGGGCAAATAGAGAATCATAATTTGAAAAACAATAATGATGAGAATATTATCATCTATGGAATGACACAGTGCACGTGGGATCTCGATAGCGTAGCATGCTCCAAGTGTTTGATAAATGCATTCAATATTACAGAATCTGTGTGTGGAGAAGCAGCTGCAGGTTGCTATGTGATTACTAGAAGCTGTGCTGTGAGATATGAGATCTATCCATTTCTCTTCTTCAATGCTACTGCGGTTAATCCTCCTAAAACTACTCGTTCGATAATTTTCGGAAATATTTAACTACTCTTAATGTATTGTGTGATCTCGGTAGAAGTTTTCCTTTTTCAACTAAGAATTAATAAAGTTGGTTTGAATGAATTGAGCATTATTGTCTTCCTTTTAGTTCGAATGGAAGAACTCAGGCTTAGTAATTTAGATGTGTTCGAGCTTCTTTTGGAACAACTTTCTTAATATATTGCATCAGTTCATTTAACAACAATTATAAATCATATTGTTAGTACAAAATTTTATTGAACATCTGATTTAGAAAGCAGTAGGAAAGTTGTCCCAAATGAAGTTTAAGTTAACAATAAATTGTGATTAGGTTTAGAGTTTCGAGTGACTTGTATTTCTTTGCATATTATATTATGATTAAGAAAATATTAAATTATTTTCGAGGGAGAGATTTCAAATTCATCGAACTCTTCCTTTTGTGCATGAAAATATTATACAATGGTATATATATTTATTTTATTTTGAAAGGAATTCAAGGAATGTTCAACTCTGTTAAAAAGAAAAAAAAATACTATAATACTATAGTATTTATTTGACGACATTTCAGTAGAGAGCTGGAGGTCCTTTTAAGGACTCTGTAATTTTTTACCTATATTAACGCGTAGGCCTGTCGGTGGGTTTTAACCAAAAAAAAAATTATTTATTTTGGAAGGAATTAAGGGAATGTTCAACTCTATTAAAAAGAAAAATATTTTGAAAATTGGCCAAATGGATGCTAAAAATATAGATGATCTAAAAGGCAAGGCTTTTAAAATTGGATCGAACCGGCCGGTTGAACCGATTGACCAAAAACTGGCCGGCCAGTCAGTTATGGTTCAATTTTGAACTAGTTTTGCACAAAAGTGGTTTTAAATTGAATCATAACTGACCGGCAGTTATATCACCAACCGGTCCCGATTTCCGATAACTGCCCAATTCAGCTACAATGCGATCCAACAATTGATATTAACAAAGGCGAAGCTTATACGATAGTGGAAAAAAAATCTCATTCAGACGTATCGCATATGTTCTGTTCGGCGTATCTTCTTCACCGTCTCGGCGTCTCCTGCTCGTTCGCGAAGCCAGTGAAACCAACACCATCTCTTTCTTGCTCACTCGCGAAGCCAGAAGCCAACACCGTTTCATATAGTCCTACTCATTTGCAAAGCCAGAAGCCAACAACCGAACACGGTCTCCCGCTCAGTTCTAATTTGTTTCTAAAAGAGTTTTTTTTTTTTTCAAAATCCAGAGAAAGAATAGTGATAAAAAATTATCTCAAACAAAACTTTAGTGCAATAGGTTTTAAATGAGCAACTTGAATAATATTGAATGTGAGTTTTCCCTGATCGTGCCAGAAATCATTGTTGTCTTATAAAAAGGTTTCCGAATTTTTGGATTTATGTTTGGATTTAGTTTTGGTTGATTGTAAATAATTAATTTGTTTTAGAAATCTATGATTTCATGATAACTCATTTTGACGAAATTTTTACTATTTAGAAAATTTTTAGATGGTTTGTGAAGTTTGAAATCTATGTTAGTGTTTAATTGCATTAAAACAGAAGGATTAAAAAAAGGTTATTGTTTATCAACTTATAATATGTAATTTTAAGAAGCTAAATGGGCTCTTATGGGCAAGTAATTATTATGTCCGGTCACCGAACGCGTTCATAGACCAATAACCACGCGTCACGTCACCTGAAACTCGGTATTGCTCGGTATACATTCATTAACGTTCGGTTTTGACCGGACGTAATAATTGCTCCTTATGAGATTGGCAATTTTTTTTAGGTTCATTTTAGTATTTATTATTTTTAAACTTTAAGCATGAAAC